AGAGGGTGAAGAGAAAATTTAATTAAATGTATTATCTTTATGGCAAATTATGTGCATGAACCTATAATATGCCTAACGATAGTTGGTGCATTGCAAATATGAAGATATTTATAGAATTCATTAATCTTGCAAATTCATTGAATATAATTAACTTTTAAAGCCACAAAGATAAATTTAACTTAATTTAATTTTTTATAGCTGACTATCAATACATTCGATATGCGAGACTACTTATTTAATTGAATAACAAACCGTTTAACCTTGATATAGTCTTATAGCTTATGCTTTCTATACACTATAGACTATCTATCGATTATTATCGAAGACAATAATCAGCGAGAGCCACAACCTAATTGTCCTACTACCAAATCGTTTTAGCGGTACATTAGCTTCGCCAATGAAATTTCAGTTAGCTTACTTTAACTCCTTCCACTTAAGCTCCACGCCCATGATAATTTAATAAGCGCCCACACACACACACACACACGCGCAGTTGCACACAGAAGTGCAGCCATATAAGTTGATATATCCAATAGTCTAGAGGCTATCAATGCGCTGTGTGCGCCTCCACGTTTCGATAGGATTCGATTTCACGTTTGGCTTATTCCACGCAATTAAGTTCAATAAACTGCTGTAAAGGCGGCAGCGGGCGAACAGAGCTGGCTTGGACTGGACTGAGGGGTGGGGGGAGAGTGCTTGTGGTCTGCTGTTTCGCGTAAACCTGTTGTTGCTCGTGTTGTTGTAATTGTTGTATTTGTGTAATTAACAAAAGTGCGCTTGCGGCCGGAATGGCAGTGTTAAAAGCGCCCGATACGCTATCCTGAATGCAAGCATGGCGCATCCTTCAGTCCTTCAGCCAGTGTTCTATAGAATTCGTTTTTCCAACGCATAATGAGCGCCATATGCCCATGTGGCCGCACACACACTCCCACACGCATACACAGAGAAAGACGTCCACAAAAAGAGAAGCAAATGGCTACCAAAATTGAATTAAAGCCTGAATCAAGCGCAAGTCGTGGCGGCAGCAAAGGTCCTGCGTCCTGCCTAATTCGATTAACAGTCGTGAAAATTGTGCAAAAACAAATAACCAGCTGGAACAGCGAGTGCCATTCAATGGGAGGTCAACGCTTGGACTTAAGTAATGGCATAATTAAATTGACAGCCGACACATACACACAAACACACAGAGAGAGAGAGAGAGAGAGAGAGAGAGAGAGAGAGAGAGAGACTGCGGCAGCACAACATCTGAGCCGCAAGGATATAAACTGTGCCTGTGTGTTTTCGCATTTGGCCCCAAAAGCAACCGCAAGCAGCTGACGTGCTGTTGTGGGTGTGGTCATCTTTTATTGTGAGCAATTCAGGTTGTTGCTGTTGTTGTTGCTGCTGCTACTGATACTGCTGTTGTTGTCGCTATCAATATCGATTCGAGCAGCAACAACAAATGCAACACATTGCGCAAATTTGTTTGGCGTGTAAAATTTTCATGTAAACAAGCAAATTTACAAGAACAAAAGCAACAACAGCAACGAGTACAAAAAGGAAGCAACACCAACAGCTGCATCAGCGGCACCACCAACAGGTGCCGTCGCAAAACTAATTTTGAATTATTGCAAACAAAAAAAAACACACACACATTTGTTAATGAGCACAGTAGGTAAAATACTAATAATTAATTAATATTCATAGCCATTTTTATTTTTTATTCATTTTCGAATGCAACAGATAATCTAATACATACCCAGTAGAAATGGGAAAAAGTTAACAACAATTTATTGAATTATTAAACATTAAAAATAATAATAATAATAAAGCAATGGATATTTAGATAATGTTGCATAAATAAAATATTAGCAATTATATTAAAGCAAGATTTCTGCTTTACCAAAAGAGTGAAACAAGAAATTTAACACAATGTGCATAAAATCAAGAAATGTCTTGAAGCCAGCAATAAAAAAATCTCCTTTTTAAGCTTAAACAAAATACGATGCATAAAAAAATTAAGAATTAAAAACAAATAAAGACAAAGACAATAAAGTGCATAAGAGAAATTAAAGTATCTTTATATAAATTATTAATTATCGTTCTTAATTTTTTTAAAGTATGTTTAATTAAATAATATTATTAATTCTTGTTATGTAACTTAAAAAAAAAAAAAATAAGAAAAATTGATAGTAATAATAATTTTTTATTTTATTATTTTTTTTTTTTTTTATTTATTTATTTTTTTTTTTTTTTTTTTTTTTTGCAGAGCTAACTAACAATTGTTTTAAATTAACATAAGCCGTCATTTAGTACTGTTCTTAAAATGAGCTTTTCTCAGAATGAAAAAATGATATTTTAAAGCATTTTTGCCATAAATTAACTCTGACAACAGTGCAAAGCACAAACTGAATAGCAAATATACAATATATACAATAATTCATACATTATACTATATACTGTGCTATTTTATCATATTACATAGAGAGTTTGAAGCCAACAATTTGTGCATTTTGAAAGATCCAAACAGCAAATAGGCTCTTTCTATTTACTTAATTAAGCTGCTAATTCGGTCAACGGCCCCGAAAAGTATACAAAATGAAAATGCCAGGCAACGCTGTCATTGTTGGCCCATAAATGGGCAGCTAATTTGGCTTTATGCATTTGGATTAAAATTTAAAAAAAAAAAAAAAAAAAAAAAAAACAAAGGAAACAGGATGATGGCAATCCAGTGCCTTGTGTCCTGCGGCAAACTTCGTTTTCTATGGCCTTTTCACAGTCTGATTGGATTCGAGCGGGCGCTTAATAAGTATAACGTTAATTGAGTATGGTAATTTACTTAAATGCAGTTAACTTAGGGATAGGGGCAAGTGGAGCAAGTGGAGCAGGCAGGGAGCAGAAGGGGAAGGCGCCTATTTCTGATGCTTTGGTCATTTAATTTTGCTGCATTTTAGCGGCCGCCTGTTTATCACGAGCTTTTAATCTTAAAGGATTTGGCTTGCACATTCAGAGAAAGCAATAGAGGGACCGAGTGGGAGAGTGAGAAAGAGACAGGGCGAGAGATATAGAGTGGGTTGGCACTTTCGTCCGGCGGGAAATCTGTGGAACAGATTCATCATGTTTGCCTACAACTGTGAGCCAAGTAGTTGCCCCAAAGCGCGGAGCAAAGCAAGAGATGCGCCTTTAGTAGGAGGAGAAGCAGCAGAAGCAGCAAGAGAAGCTGCAGAAGCAACAGCAGCGGCGGCAGCGGCGGCAACAGCACAGCGCACAGCACAAGCGCGAGCCAGCAGCAGGACATTTTTAATTAAATTGCATTTCCGCTTGGGAAATTTTTTATGAAGCTACAAAAAAGCTGGAAGAGCAGCGGCTATGAATGGGGAAGGGAGTGTGGAATGAAGTGGAGGATGGCGAAAGGGGGTGCGGCGGGGTTGGCTTGTGCATTTTACTTTTGCTTGGTGCGCGTTGTTGCTTTTCTACTTATTTTTATGCCGCTGCTTTATCATATCCGCAGCAGCCACGCCCCATACGCGTCCGCCCCCGCCAACACGCGCAATCAGTGTAGTTTTGCGCCTGCGGTAACTTGAGGACATGGCAACGCAGTTGTGAGCGTCACGGTGGCGAAGGGGCGTGGGAGGATGGAGGGGCCATGGAGGAGTACTGCTGCTGGCTTGCATGTAATTCAATTTTTTTTCTCCGCTGCCGATGCCGCTGCTGCTGCTGCTGCTGCTGCAGTGAATCCCCAGTTTTCTGGCCTGGCCAACAAAGAAGCATTTATTTTGCGCCCGGCTTTGTATGCGCTTTTCTTTGTTGCGCGCACAAAACTCAATATCCCGACTTGATGTCCTTTGTAATGCATCCGCTTTTGGCCAACTCGGACTAGATGACGGACTATCTGACTATCTGTCTGACTGGCTGACTGGCTGACTCACTGGCTGACTGACTGACTGGCTGATGGACAAACAAATGGCAACTGTCTGTAAATCTGACTGCTAGCCAGTTGACATGCCACCCGAAGCTAGCTGCACAGTGGATTTAACATCAAACTTAATGACTTTGGCCAAAAGCTAAATTGCACAAAGTGCTCCCCCGCACGCTTTTCCGGCCAGTACTCATACCTGTCTCGCCCGCTCGCGCTCTCTTCTTCTTTGTGCGCCAAAGGCATTTGCTGCAATCAACGTGAAGCAGCTTTTAGGGCCATTAGCTGAGGCACATGTATACCGAAAGCCGCATATGTGCTTCTTCCTTGCATTTTGTATGCTTGTTTTTTTAATCTCTTCTAAGTCCCAAAAAAAAGGGCTAAAATGTGGGCTTAGAAGGTGAATACATACATATATACTGTTGTTAAACAACAGAAAAATCTATATCAATATGTACGAATTAATACATATTGTTAATAATTCAATATATTATTTATATTAATATTATTATTTATAGTCGAAAGTCAAACCAAGCTTAATTAGAAAAAGTCACCAGATATATGTCAGAGGGGGAGACATATTAAAGTCTGAATAAACCCGATTTTAAACTCATAATTCAACATGCACATAAAAGGGTAGCCTTTAATTAATTTAATCGGACACCTTCAACTTAAGTACAAAATTTTTTTTGTTTCTCCGATCCACACTAAAATCAAATTACGTGTCCAAAAATTGTTTTGGAATTTCAATTACAATATACGTTGTGGCCATGTCCTCATTCGCCCAGCGGTCAATGGCAACCGCGAATTATGTGCCCGGTCAAAAACAATTGCCACTTCGCATTTCCAATGGCGCCGACAATTTCCCATCGAACACATAATTGTAATATTTCCAAACTAAAATGTCCCCCAAAATGGTCAAAAAATTCCCCATGCCACGTTTTATGCTAGCTAAATAAATATGTACATATACATACACACACTCTCATATATGTAATTTTGTGGCTCATAAACTTTTTGCCGCAAGCCCTGGCAACACAGTAACTGTACCCGCATTCCCTTGACGCCACACATATTGGGTAACGGTAAACGTTTACATACATACCTGGAGCGTGTTTAGTTTTGTGCTCCCAGCATTTCGTTGTCTCTTTTGCTCTATCCACTTTGCTGTTGTTCTTCCAATTTTGCTCAGCCAAATTCACATGTGAATAAATATGTACATATAAATACAAGCATACATACATACGCATGTGTTTGAGTGGCAATTAAACACTGAAAACGAAGATTATTCGAAGCACTTATATGGCTAAACTCATCTAATTAAGTTTCATGCAATCACACAGGCTTAAAGTTTCTGGATCGAACATGTTTGAAGCAATTTTACATGATTTGTATGTAAGTATGTGTATACGACTGGACTATTAATTGCAGCCCCTCAAATGACACAGAAAAAGGCACTAAACGACCTCAATAATCAATTATGCATATTAACAAATTGTAATTATCTTGCTAGGCATAGCGAATGAAGTTGACAAATATCATTCGTAATTCTAAAAACGATTTCCAGCATCACAGTTCTTCGCTCAATCGAACATGTTTGATGCAACTTTACTTGCTCGAGCGCCATTTTTTGCGCACAAATACACACACACCTAACAGAACAAAGAGCATCATTAGAATTTGCAAAAATTAGCTGATCACATTTTATTAATGCACACGCACATGCAAAAGAAGAGCGCTGACTACGATCCGACACATGTGCGAAATCGACAAAAACTCTTTAAACTCTCAATAAAGCTTATTATTTTACGACAGTTTGAGCACAACAATTTTGGCGACTCGATTTCTTTACACCTGCGATCGAAACTAACAGTTCCGATAACTTTCGACAGTGCTTAACGAGTTAACAGTGGAGCTAGATGTTAGTTTACAGCAAACTTCATAGCTAATTAATTAAATGGTTTCTAATTGATTTTAATTTTATGTGGTTACACAGCTTAACCGATTTTGTGGCCACTTTTGATAGATTCTAATTATGTTAATTCACGAAAAAAGGGAATTTCATCAAGCCAATTTATCGTGTTAAATTGTGTATTACAATATAACTTTAATGCAGTTCTATTTTTGGGCCATTGCCAAAGGGCTAAACAGCAAAAATTATGCGCCCAGCCCCAGTTGCGCTTCCATTTCTTTGTCTGCAATATGAGAACCTAATGAAATACTCATAACCTGTGGCTTTTTGCCATGCGGTCACACGCACAGACACCCAGACAGACCGACAATTGGACAAGAGCAAAGAAAAAACATATTTTTATAGGTTGGCGAAAGACAACTCAACACGCAACCCCCGTACCAATCTGCCGGCGCCTTGAGGATCTGCCAAAAGAAAAGTAGAGACAAGTTTTTTCCGCATGCTTTCCGCCTCGTGTTTCACATTTCAATTGTGATGGGTGGGCGTGGCAGCGGCAGAAAGTTCAAGCGAAATTGAAACCAAAGAACCCGCAAAGCTACCCATTTGGCCTTGCCCCCACAAACTCCCCCCGCCCCTCATCCCCTCTGCTCCTACCCCTATCAGAAGGCAACACACGGAATCACTTACAGTTTGACAGACTACGCAAAGAAAAGGAAACGAGAGAAAATAAAAATAACGCGCGCTGACAACTAAATTCGATATCGATTTGATTTAGTTAAACACCAAAAATGTCCCACAACAGCAGCCGGCAGGTCTCGAATGCCTCTGTCTTTCTGTCTCCCTCTCTCCCTCCCCCAGTTTCGTCCTCTGACTGTCACTCCCCGGCGGCTACGTAATTTCGGATGATTCTCGCCTTCGACTGCGAAAACAAACAAACAGCCAAAAACAGTCCAAACAAATAGACCGTTAGATAAGCGACAGCTCACCAAATAATAATAACAAGAAGACAAAAATAACTTCTGAAATAAAAGCCTATCCCAAGCTGGCTACAGATAAAATACCCTAGCAATTCCAGCTTCGATAACATGGGGATGGGAAAGTTTGTCCCACAGTTAGATATATTAAGCTTTACTTCACCGTCTATAATTTCGAGAAATCAAATGCTAATCCATATCTGAAACTCTTAAGTGCTATTCCTGAAACAGTAGGCGTGGCATTTGATTATACTGGACTTATCAGCTGCTGCTGCTACTTCTTCATCCTGTATGCTTGACACGGCTTTGGCGTTCGACACATTTTTGCTCGCCAGCTCAATATGTAAATTTTTCTTGGGGCTGAACGATTCCCACCTGCCTCCTGACTCCTGCCGCCCGCTGTCGGCCGCTTGGCTGTGGCCACAGCGCATTAAATGTTGCCACGTCGTAGCTCATGTGAATTTCAAATGTGCAACTGGCTGATATGCATGTGGCAAAGAAGGAGCTGAACAGGGGGAGAGAGGATCGGCAAGCGTAGAATCGGAATCGCAATTTGTGTGCTTGAAGCGCTGTCCAAGCTGTTGAGTTTTTATCAGCAGACATTTCTTTTATTTCACTGGCTGGCATCATAAACGAGGACAGCTCACAGCTCACAAGTAACGAGTAACATGTAGCTAGTGGCATGTGGCATGTAGCAAGCAGCAGCAATGGCAACTACAACAACAGCAACTGGACAGTGCGCAGCAGAGCGAAAGCAAGAAACATGAACACAACCAAAAATTAACATAGACTAAAGACTGTGCGGCACGCCTACTAGCTTGCAACACGGCAGTCACACAAACACATGCACACACACTTATATAAATACACTTGGAGAAATCAATTGTAGGCAATTTGTAGGTTAAGGCAGTTTAATGATGCTTAGAGACTTTAAGTAAGGATTCGGAGTTTAAGAACTTTTATCTATCTAACAGGAATTTTTATCTTCTGTACTAGAATGATGTGATTTCCCCATGTACATATTTGTATATGGTAATATATACAAAAGTACAATATACTATATTGTATTATAATCAAATAGAACTAGAACTGCTTTCAATTGATAATTATTTAAACAACAAAAACAAAAAGTTTTCTAATATATTTAGACTCATATTTCACAGACAAATTATTTTAAAAGTTTTCAAATGTAATTAAACAAATTATTTTCAAGTTTAATTCCGACTTAGAAGCATTTCCGCTGAGTGTAGCACATCTGTGCATGTTTATAGCAAACACATGAGCGCAGCCCCAAAGGACTTGTCTGCTAGGCAGCAGCAGGAGCAGCAGCAGCAGCAGGAGTTGTTGCCTGTTTATGTTGCTGTTGCCGTGTAGCCGCAAACGTTTTGGCATGGGTATTTTAGTCAGGCCAGCGAGGAAGAGAGAGTGACAGAGAGAAAGAGAGAGAGAGAGAGAGAGAGAGTGGGGCTGCTGCTGGTAGCCAACGGACGCCATCAAGCGAATTAAAACCAAATCACTTACCAGCGGCCAAAAGTGTTAACGTGTAAATTTCCATTTTACCAAGATCGAAGCGCTCTGATAGCAGCAGACACCATAAACATGCAGTGGGCGTGGCTGGGGAGACCAGCGAGGTGAGCTGGATGCGTATGTAAGCCTCAGCCATCCACCCACCCACACACACACAGAGAAAGAGAGCGAGTTAAATACGAGTTAAAAATAAAACAAGTGGAAATGGCGCAAGTCCGAAAGGGCCAAAGGTAAACGTGTCGAGTGTGTGTGTGTGTGTGTGTGTGTGTGTGTGTGTACATTTACATGCATAAATAAATGCAAGAACTGAGCGAACGGGAGACAGCGTAGGGCAACAAAAACAACAACAACAACACAACTTGGCGAGCAACTTCTTAACTCAATGAAATCTCCAGCAATTTCGTAAATTAACACTTCGAATTCAAGAGTGGGCAGCGTGCAGATTGGGGGCGTGGCAGCGCAAATACTCTTAGAGGTGCAGACATCGAGCTGTGAAAATGACAGAGAACGTTAGATAAACTATAGCCGAGTGTAAAAGAGATGCACAAATACACAGAGCGAAAAAATAAGTTTATAATGGAATGAGAAATTTTATTTGTGCATTAAACATATGATTAATTTTAATGATACCTGAAATGTAGTAATTTAATTAATTACTTAAGTAATTTGCGTATGCCGAAATGTAAATACAAATTTAATAAATTATGAAATAAATAAACAAAAATTAATAAAATCGCTGTAAAAGAATGCTCAATTGCATTTAATGCATGTTTGGTAAACTCTGAGAAGTAGAAACAATTTGTATAGACTATATTTTTAATTTTATATAATGAAAATATATTTATATATAATGTTTGTATATGTTGTGGAATAGTAAGTGGTATTTGATTCTTTGTCTGTATACTTTCTGTCCGCCTTAGCTAAGACACAAACCAATTACTTATTTGGACACACTCTCCATACGAAATTGCTAGAGATCGTCTGAGTATCTATTGTAAGACTTAAGTGGGAGAGCTCTAGGACTTTCTCACTTTTACTCTTTAATTATGTTTTCTGTCGTGGCTGGAACAGAAGCTGAGCGTATATAGATTAAAATAATATAGAAATATAAGTAAACTAGCTGAAATATAGTAATAAATTGGCTCTCGCCTATATATACCATTTATATTATATACCATATATACTATATACTTACTAAATCATAATATAACACAAATGGTAGTAACTTCAATCCAAATCAATATTTAGCACAGTGTATTAAGAGTTTTATAGTAGACAAGAAAAATCTACGAATTCTCGCACTTACTTCCGACTCATTGGGCTCTGTGTGTGTGCAATGTGTTGTGCATGTGTGTGTGTGTGTGTGTATGTGTTGTGCTCTGCCGGCTGCCAAAAGTCTACAGCTGCGGAAACAATCTGCTCGCTGCGCGTTGAGGCGGCAGCCATAAACAGTTTGCCATCCGCCACAGCTTCGGAGCGCCCGAAAGGACCCCCACGCTGCTCCTATCGTCCCAGAAACAGTTCTTTCAATTTTGGAATTTGCATTTTCACTGAAATTGATATTGTGTGTGCAAGTGTGTGTGTGTGTGCGTGCGTATGTGTTTGCGTGCGTGTGTGTGTATTTCACCAATGGCAAAAATTTAAAAAGCGAGTAAATTATGGGTGAATAGAGTTTCAGCGAAAATCACAACCACAATCAGCCACACACGCTTACAGCCACACAGAGGCATACACTCATGTGTATATGTGTGTGATTCTTCCCACCACTTTCGCACTTCATTTGAAGCGCTGCGCTGCGTCTCGTTATGTCGTACTTCGTTCGTGTCGCTGCTGATATCGAAATCTGTTCTATCGACACATCTTTGTTGGGCTTTTCCCCCGACTCTCTCACTCTCTCTATCCCTCTTACTCTCTCTCTCTCTCTCTCTCGCTCTATCTTGCCCTTTCTTTCTCTGTTTTTCGTTCTCTCATGTTACATACACACATATGAACACACTTGTTTATACCCTTTTGGAGTGTATTATCATTCTGAAAGATATGAGCCAAAATTTAATAAAGATTCTAAACCCTAGCATAGTGAGTATCTAAGTGTACTACTTAGATAAAATTTGTAGACAATAATATGTAATAAAACAATAACTAATATTAAGAAGTTTCGTTTATTAGCATTGTTATTTGTTTTTAGCAATAATTAAGAAAATATTTATTTTTTTACAATCTATAAATATATTTAAATATTTTTATAATAACAAAAATAAATAAGAGTATTAATATATGGAATAAATTATATTACATATTTTTCAATTAATTATAAAAATATTACATTCATGAGCTCAGAGCTTAGAATACATATGTATATACATATATATCTTCTGGAACAAATAATTTATAAGCATTATAGCATAACTCAACGGTTAGACTCAGATTTGAAACTCAAACA